TATATATATAACAACACTATATAGGATAATATTAATAAATTTTTAAATATATTAATAATTCAATAAAATAATTATAATTAATTTTTTACAATTTAAATATTTGAAATTATATAATTTTTCTAATTTTTTAAGACATGTATTTATTAGTCAATTTATTAGTCAAAAAATGTGTAATATTATTACATATTTTATTAAAATATTATTCGCTTTAAAAAAACCGAATGAATTCTTTTAATTTCCTTTACACCTAAATTCTTTACATATAAATATTACACGTAATATAAGTACATAATAGTATGAATATATAGAACAAACTTATATCATATAAATTATATTTTATATTGTATATTGTATATATACAGAATAAGAGCAAATAGATAGTAAAACCGAAAATAATTCTATATATGAAAGTAAATCATAAAAAAAATAATAACATTTTTTTTCGCTTCGTTTTTGAGAAAATCGAGTTTGCAAATTTGTAGTATAAATTTGACTAATTCTTGATTAGATACAAATGAATTATTAATAAAAAAAATTATTTTACATATAAAAATAAACGAAAAATATAAAGTAAGATTGTTTTATTTAAAAATAAATTGTTTTATTTAAAAATAAATTTTCGAAAAAATAAATTTTGAAAATTCAATAAGTATACAAATATTTGACCAAATTTCAATATATTTCAATTTTATTAAAAAATGAAGATTTAAAATTTGATAAAATTTTATTATTTTTTTTATTTTTTTATTTTTTATTTTTTACTATATTTTATTCTTTATTTTTCATTTATAAAATAATCTTTTACTAATAATCTATTTGAAAATCTAACTGAAAAGTCAAATTCGCATATTTATATTTGATGAAAATAAGAAAAGATTATTTACAAGTCTATTTTCATATAAAATCATATCTTGACCATTTAAATAAATGTATCTTGTGCTATAAATGTATAAATCCTATATTTAAATAAATATAGAAGACATATACAAATATACATTTACAATTTTTTCTATTTTCACTTTTACAAAATAATTGCAAATTATTTATAGAAATATGTTTATCAAAAATAAGTTTAAACAATGAAGAAATGAAATATATATTTCATCGTTTTTGTTTTATTTTTTCATTACGAAATGCGAAAGGAAAAATACTACAATTCATAAACTTACGTAAAGTCGAATAAGTATATAGCTTTATCAATTTCACAAGTTTCTAAGAATTCTCATGGAATTCACATACGATTAACTTTATTTGCATAATATATAGTTGCATAATAGTTCAATCTCTGCGAAACTTTATTTCATAGGGAACTTTATTTCATAGGGAACTATCATTAAATGTTTCCGTGTTTTCTTCATGTTGCTTAATGCAATCGTAAAATTAAGCAAAAGTTTCGCATCAAAATAAAAATTAATTAAAAATGAGCATATCTCATTTATCTTACGATCGAGCATTTAAAACAAGTTTTATTCTTTTTTGTTTTTTTTATTCACTTATTTTTTAAAATATCTATTGTCAATAAAAGAACTAACCTTGTCACATTCAATTATGAATATATACATACAAAACAGTACTTTAATTAGTTTTT